CTGGATTCGAACCCGCCACCTTGGGTGTACGTGGCTGGCGCCTTAGCCACTTGAGCCACAGGCGCCGAGCCTGAATTCAAATTTTAACATATAACATGTGATCCAAATGTGAGAGTTAAAGCAAATCTGAGTTTGAGACTTGGATTGAAATGTTTAGCCAAAGCTCCCCAACCGGGGAGCCAGGCTATATTCTTTCCACTTCTCTGAAGTCCATCTATACTCTGTGCCGGGTATAGATGACATAAAGATGAATAGGTATCCAAACTACCCCCTAGAGCTTAAGGTAGGATAGACTTGGACTCAAGTAAGCTAACTAGCATATGATAAATACTTTCTTTTCTTTTTCTTTTTATTTATTTATTTTGGTAGAGACAGAGTCTCACTTTATCACCCTCCATAGAGTGCCATGGTGTCACAGCAACCTCCAACTCCTGGGCTTAGGCAGTTCTCTTGCCTCAGGCACCCGCCACAACACCTGGCTATTTTTTTGTTGCAGTTCGGCCAGGGCCAGGTTTGAACCTGCCACCCGCTGTATATGAGGCTGGCGCCCCACCCACTGAGCCACAGGCACCACCCTAAATACTTTCTTTTAAAATAGTATTGCAGAGAAAGAAGTGACAAATGCCCGGGAGGTAGGGAAAGGCTTACGCTGGAATAAATGGCTTTTCTGGGCTATAAATTAATGTAGAGTACTGGGGTAAATCTATGATTAATTACTCAAAAGCATAGAGGACTTTGACCAGAAGAAGCCCTGCAGTTAACTGGGCGTTGGGGCAGGCACCTGTAGTCCCAGCTACTTGAGAGGTTGAGGCAAGAGAATGGCTTAAAGCCCAAGAGTTTGAAGTTGGTATGAGCTGTGATGCCATGGCACTCTACCAAGGGTGACACAGTGAGACTCTGTCTCAAAAAAAAAGAAAAGGCTTGGCTCTGGTAACATAGTAGTTATGGCACCGGCCACATGCACCGAGGCTGTCAGGTTTGAATACAGCCCAGAACAGCTAAACAACAATGACAACTGCAACAAAAAAAATAGCAGGGTGTTGTGGCAGGCACCTGTAGTCCCAGCTACTTGGGAGCCTGAGGCAAGAGAATCACTTAAGCCCAAAGAGTTGGAGGTTGCTGTGAGCTGTGACGCCTCAGCACTCTACTGAGGGTAACATAATGAGACTCTGTCTCAAAAAAAGAAAAGAAAGAAGAAGCTGTGCAGAAGGACCTGTGGGAGCAAAGACAGAGATATGTGAAAGAAGGTGGCATGTTAGAAAAACTGTGGGATGCTATGCTTGGCAGAAGATAAAAGTCAGTTGCAATCTGTCTAAAGGTTCTTTTTTTTTTTTTTTTTTTTTTGAGACAGAATCTCACTTTAACACCCTTGGTAGTGTACTGTGGCATCATAGCTCACAGCAACCTTAGACTCTTGGGCTCAAGTGATTCTCTTGCCTCAGCCTCCCAAGTAGCTGGGACTACAGGTGCCCACCACAATGCTCAACTCAGCCCAGGACTCACTGGGCTATTTTTTAGAGACAGGGTCTCACTCCTGCTCAGGATGGTCTTGTACTCCTGAGCTCAAACAATCCACCCGCCTCAGCCTCCCAGCGTGCTAGGATTATAGGTATGAGCCCCCACACCCGGCCTATCTGAAGGCTTTTTAGATACTATTGTCGGGTATTTGGGTTTTGTCCTATGTGGACAGCACCTTGCTAAGCAATGAGAGTAATAATTTTTTAAAAATTACAATTGCCCCTAAACACCTTTCTGAAATACCATCCCCAGTGTCTAGCACAGAGCATGGCCCATAAAAGGCATTAAATAATCGCTTTTGTTTTGGTTTTGAAGACATTGGATCTTGCTTTGTTGCCCAGGCTGGTCTCAAGCTCCTGGGTTTAAGTGATCCTCCCACCTTAACCTCCTGAGTAGCCAGGATTACAAGCAAAAGCCAGTGTACCTGGCTCAAGCATTAAATAACTGTTGGAGGAGTGAGTTATCAACTACTAAACATGTGCTCCAGGGAACTGGATGCTGCAGGAACTCAGAAAGAGAAAAATCACTGTGGGCTACAGAATTAAGAGAAAGGGAGACTTGAACTCACCCATCAAAGACAGGAGGCATCAGGAAGTGTACGGGCTTTCTATTTCCCACTCTAACAAATTACCACAAGTTTAATGGCTTAAAATAACACAAATTTATTATCTTAAAGTTCTCTAGGTTAGAAGTCAGACACAGGCCTCACTGGGCTATTAAGGTGTGTGGAGGGCTGTATTTCTTTCTGGAGTCCCTTGGGAAGAATTCATTTCCTGGCCTTTGCCAGAGGCTGCCAATGTTCCGTGATTTACAGCCCCCAGCCCCCATCTTCAAAGCCAGCAATGGCAGGTTGAGTCTGATCTTGCTTCTGTTGTCATATCTTTTTCCCTGACTCCTGTCTGCTGCCTCCCTTTTCTACTTTTAAGGATCCTTGTGATTATGTTGTGCCTACCCAGGTAATTCAGAATAAATTCCCTATTTTCAAGTCAGTTGAAAGCAACTTTAAGTTCCTTTGCTGTGTAAGCCAACATATTTATAGGTCCTAGGAGTAGAACAGAGACATATTTGAGGGGCCATTCTGCTTACTACAGGAGGATTAACATCCTAGAGGAAGAAATGGTGTGAGTTGGCGTAGATGTTAACATGATGTGCTTCTATGAGAAAGCACATCATGGGCGGTGCCTGTGGCTCAAAGGAGTAGGGCACAGGCCCCATATGCCGGAGGTGGTGGGTTCAAACCCAACCCTGGCCAAAAAAAAAACAAAACAAAAAAGAAAGCACATCATAGTCATGTAAGTTTGCACATACAAACAAGAAAGCAGTGAAGAGACCTTAGCTAAAAGGATGGGTTTATGCTGGAGCAACAGGAAGGAAAATTGGAGGGGCCAAAATAAACAGATTAAAGGGCTCAGATTAGTTTTATTTATTTATTTATTTATTTATTTATTTTTGTAGAGACAGAGTCTCGCTTTATCCCCCTCGGTAGAGTGTCATGGCATCACAGCAACCTCCAACTCCTGGGCTTAGGTAATTGTCTTGCCTCAGCCTCCCCAGTAGCTGGGATCACAGGCACCCACCCACCACAACACCCGGCTATTTTTTTGTTGCAGTTGTTTAGTTGGCCCGGGCCAGTTTGAACCCGCCACCCTTGGTGTATGTTGTTGGCGCCATAACCACTGTGTACCAGAGCCGAATCAATTTTTGTAGGTCTCACTCTTCTTTTTTTTAAGACAGAGTTTCACTCTGTCACCCTCGGTAGAGTGCTGTAGTGTCACAGCTCACAGCACCCTCCAGTTCTAGGACTTAGGCGTTTCTCTTGCCTCAACCTCCCGAGTAGCTGGGACTACAGGCGTCCGCCATAACACCTGGCTATTTTTTGTTGCAGTCTGGCCAGGGCTGTGTTCGAACCCGCCACCCTCAGATATGGGGTGACCTCCATCCCATGAGATCTCACTCTTACTTAGGCTGGTCTCAAACTCCTGAGCTCCAGCAATGGTCCTGCTTCAGCCTCCCAGAGTGTAGGATTACAGGATGAGCTACCATGCCTGGCCTTGTTTTTGAGTAGTTAAAAATTATTTTTTAGGGCTGCGTCTGTGGCTCAAAGGAGTAGGGCGCTGGCCCCATATGCCAGACATGGCAGGTTCAAACCCAGCCCCAGCCAAAAAAAAAAAAAAAATTCTTTTTGTAACAGTACAGAAAGGCCTAAAAAGGTCACTTCCACTTTGTAGAAGGAACCAGGTTTACCTTCCTGAGAGAAAGTGGGCCTGAACAAACGTATCTTGTATATGTTTGTTTTTTTAACACTAATAGCAGCATACTATTCATTCATATCCTCCTGTACCTGGCTTTTCTCACTTGTCAGTATATCTTAGGTGATTATTCCATATTATTTATTCCATTATATGGACAGTTTGATTTGATTTCATTGATTTTTGCAGTTGTTTACTTAACACTCACT